CCGAGAAAGAACGCCGGGTCTCGGTTCCGGGCTCAGTTCCTCGGCCGGGCCGGTCGGACCGCTCCGAGTCGGAACGGGGACCCGAACCCGGGGTGGACAGGAACGGCCCGGGACCTGGGGTGGGGAGGCGCTCTGGGGTCGCCATGGCAACGCGCGGCCCCCTTGGTTCTCCTCCCCTTTCTGGGGCAGGTGGCCGGACTCGGGCTCGGGCTCGAGGTCCGGAGAGCGAGGGCCGGTGTCGCCCCGGGGTCGAGGAGACCACGGCCGCAGGCCATGACTCGGTGCGGGTGGCGGGGAGGTGACAGCTCAGGTTTTGTCCTGGGTGCCCGCCACCCACTGCAGGGGAGGGGCAGCGCTGCTGCGCTAGCCCCTGGGCGAGGGTCCTGGGTGTGCCCCGGGGCCTGCAGGGCTGGGCTGGGGGAGGGGACGGGCCCTCCCCGGGGCCCCCTGCGCTCCTGCGCGGTTTCGGGGTGGCGTCCTGGCCCGCGGACCAGCCAGGGCGTGGCCGCGTTGTAAACACCCCTCGGCTGGGATCGCGTGCCCAGCACCCTTCTGGCTCCCCGTGGCTGCAGAGCTGCCTTTTGTATGGTGGTTGCGTCGCAGGTTGCGTTCCGTGATGGGCATTGTTAAGAAAACAGAGTTGCCACAGGTTATGAAACAGCAAGTGAAACCTTTCCCCAAAAAGAGGGAGCCATACCACCATGCTGACAGGAAGGACTGATGTCGTGTGTGGACAGTTTCCACCAGCCGCTTGGTCACAGCAGTTGTCGCTGTTTGTGTTTTAAGTTGTTTAGGATGCAAAACCAGGCTTCACCCCAGCCGCCTGAGAGCAGGCTAGAATACCAGATCACTGGGAGCTCTGCGTTTTTGTTCAGTGAAGGAAAAATGGACGCTTTGTTTACTTGGACTTGTGAATTTGTCGGAGATTATGTAAACTGTTATACCAAGTGCTTTCTCTTTCCCCATCTCAGTTTTGTCATGTTTGTTGAAAAAATTCCTGCCAATCACAACAGTGAAGAGTATAGGGAAGCTTTTGAATTTCTAAGTATACTGAAAATATAATTTATGGGGAAGAAAGCAATTTTGTGAATTGAAAACATCAATTAAAGATCAGCTCTTTTAAAAAATGCATCAATTAACTAGGTGTTCAAGCTGAAAAAGGGGCACCATCAGCTCTGTGAAGGGGCAGGGAACTTTATAACTGGGCCCTTTTATTTCGTCTTGGAAAATAGAGTTATGCAATACAGAACTACAGTGGCAATGAAGAGGAAAAAAAGGAGTTAAAATGACTGAAAGAACTGAGTGGCTTCTGTGTTTTTGTTTGTTTGTTTGTTTTTGGAGAGGATTTTTGCTATAGGGCACGTGCGCTTGCCAGAAAGAAACAGAGAGACAGAAAGCGAGAGATCATTCCCGAGGGGGAGATGGCCACGCCGCAATCCCTTTTCCATTCTCCTCTCGGGATCTTGGGCACGCACGCACACGTGCCTGGCGTGAGCTTAAGCCACCAGGACCGGGACTCGAACTGCGGTCAACTACGTGGGAGTCCAGCGATATAGCCATTACTCTAACTGCTGGTCCCTGCATTTTTTTAATTCTGGAACCTTAGAATTTTAACTACCTTTTACTTTTATTATTATTTTTAGAGATTTTTGCTAAAGGGTACGTGCCCTTGCAGGAGACCCAGAAAGTGAGAAATCTCCTTCCACCCACACCAGAACAATGGCCTCGCTGCAATCCCTTCTTCATTCTACTCCGATCACAAGAGACCATTAAACATGCTATGACCTCAAACTTGTCTCTCTTGAAAATCATTTGAAAAACTCATTCCCCATGAAGAGGCACCAGAAAAGAGAAATAATTAAAGAGAGGAATGGCAAGTTTGCAGGATCTTGAGAATAATTTGTAAACTTTGGTTGAAGTGGGCATGGCAGATTTTCTATGGTATGTATTAGAGACATTAAGAATAGTTCAGTAGCCATGTAGTTTAGTTGGGAGACATTCTATTTGTGGCTCAAGGAAAATAAATCATTTTGTAGAAGGGAAGGAGTGTGTATATTTTTTATTGTCATGTCTTGCAAATGATGTTGGACTCTTTCATGTGTTTTCAGCGACAAAAGACCCCACCGCTGTAGAGAGAGCAAACTTACTAAACATGGCTAAACTGAGTATCAAAGGACTTATTGAATCTGCTCTAAGCTTTGGCCGCACGTTGGACTCCGACTATCCCCCCTTGCAGCAGTTCTTTGTCGTTATGGAACATTGTCTGAAACATGGCCTTAAAGGTATCCTGAGATTTTAAAAATTGAATTCACTTTAGAGTCCTCTCTATTATTATTACTTTTCATTAAAAGATATTGGGTGAGTTTATCTTCTGGAGAAAATACTTTACCATTCTTATGTGTTTATTTTATTTTATTTTATTTTTAAGTTTTTGCTATAGAGCACATGCGCTCACAAGAGAGAAAAAGAGAGAGAGAGAAAGAGAAAGTGAGAAATCATCCCCCAAAGGGGTTGGCTATACCACAGTCCTTTCTGCTCCATTCTCCTCTGGGGATTTTGGGCACGCCCTTGTGCCCAGTGTGATTTTCAAGCCTCTGGTCTGGGATTCAAACCTAGGTCAGTCATGTGGGAATCCAGCACCTTTACCACCACAACACCTACTGGCCCCACCTTTTTGTTTTTTAATGGGTGATCGGTATTAAGAAAGAAATGTATGATTATGTTAAGTGAAATAAACCAGGTACAGAAAGAGAAATACCATTTTTTCCTCCTGCATATTTGAAAACTAGAAAAAATAACCTCATAAAAATAAAAGAGATACAGAATGACTACTGGATACTGGGACAGATGTGGGGGAATAGAGGAATGTTGGAAGTTAATGGAAACAAAATTGCAGATAGAAGGAACAATGTCTAGTGGTAAAAAACAGTGGAGAGAACCGTGTTTAAAAACAAGTTAGTGTATGTAGTGTTACAACTGATTGAGGTCATGGGTATACTAATTACCTGGATAGAATTATACATTGTATTCATGTACAGAAAAATTACATTGTACCAATTGTTAATAAAAAATAAATTTAACAAAGTAATGAATGGCAGTTTTATGGTTTTATGTACTATTACCCAAATCTCAGAATAAAAGAAAAGCAAATTCACAGTTTTTCACAGCAAATAGGGATCCAGTTGGTGGCGTGATTATTAAGGCAGCTGGATCCCACGTGGCCAGCTGTGGGGTTTGAGTCTGCTACCTGACAGCTTGAAAAAAACATGCTAGGGTCATGCATGTGCTTACCCATGTCCAAAATCCTGAGAGAAGAACAGACGAGAAGGGATCATGGTGGCCACCCCCTTCAGAGCTGCTTTCTGTTTCTCTGGCAAGTTCATGTACCCTAAAACAAAAAGAAAAAGAAATAAAGCAAAACAGAAGCAGGTGGCGGCAGAGTGGTAACACAGCCGGACCCACATGGCAGAGGTCTTGGTGAACACACCAGGCTCACTGTGTGCGTTCGTGACTCAGCAAGCCTAGACTGGGAGTGGATGCAGTGTGCAGACCCTGCGAGGGTGCCTCTGTCTCTCTCTTACTCATGGAATAAATAAATAGATAAGCTTTTTAAAAAGTTAAGTAACTTTTTATTTGTGCTTAGTTTATTAATAAACATAAAACACCATTTGCTTGGGCCACCAGTTTTTAAAATTTTGGTACTGGCAGAAAATGAGCTCAGTCTTTTTTTTTTTTTTTAATCTTATTACCTGCCTGCATATTTCTCTGCTTTCTTTCTCTTTTTAAAATTTGCTCGGAAAAAAAAGAAGAAGAAAAAAAAAATTGCTCGGGAACCAGCAGTTAGCGTAATGGCTATGTCGCTGGACTCCCACGTAGTCGACCGCGGTTCGCATCCCGGACCCGGTGGCTTAAAACTCACGCCGGGCGCATGTGCGTGCATGCCCAAGATCCCAAGAGGAGAATGGAGGAGAAGGGACTGTGGCGTGACCATCCCCCTGGGGGGTGATTTCTCGCTTTCTGTTTCTCTGTCTCTCTCTGTCTGGCTGGCGAGCGCACGAGCCCTGTAGTGAAAACCTCTCCAAAAAAAAAAGAATAAAAAAATAAATTTGCTGTAGGGCACATGCACTTTTGGAGACAAAGAGGGAAAGTGAGAAAGCATTTGTCGGGTATGGCTATGTCCCTTCTCTGTTCTCTTGGGATTTGGGGCACACCTGCACATATGCTTGGCATACCTTTCAAGCCATTGGGTCTGGGACTTGAACTGTACATTTTGGCTATGTGGGATCCAGCTGCCTTAATCACCTTGCCGCAGGCTCCTCCCCTCTTCTTTTATGGCTTATTTATTTATTTCCATAAGAGACAGAAAAGAAACTTCCAACAGGGTCTTCACTTCATGATCCTCCCTCAGTCTCATCCAGTCCAGGTGACCGGCAGACTCATGCCTGGATGCTCAGTGAAGCCTTGGAAAGCAAACCCAGGACCTTCCCCATGTGGGATCAGCTGTTATCACTGTGCTACCTCCTGGCCCTTGCCTGCACAGCTCTGATATGATGGAATAGCCAAGATGCATTTTTTGGCATGGAAAAAAGTAATAGGGTGGACCAACAGGATCCTGATTGAACAGCTGCTAATCAACAGGGCTGTGTAGTGATTCCAAGAGAGGAAAGATCTCTCTATAATTTTAATTAAAAGTGTTGAAACAAAATATTTTTCAAATTTTATGTGTTAAAATTGTGTACATTTTATTCCCCCCCTTTTTTTTTCAGTAAGAAAATCATTTTTGAGTTACAACAAAACCATCTGGGGCCCTTTGGAACTGGTGGAGAAGCTGTACCCAGAAGCAGAGGAAATAGGAGCCAGTGTCCGGGACTTACCTGGTCTTAAGTAAGTAATGTTTTTTTTTTTTTTTTTTAAGAGGATTTTGCTATAGGGCGCGTGTGCTCGCCAGACAGAGAGAGACAGAGAGACAGAAAGCAAGAAATCCCCCCCAGGGGGGATGGCCACTCCGCAATCCCTTCTCCTCCATTCTCCTCTCGGGATCTTGGGCACGCACGCACACTCGCCTGGCGTGAGTTTTAAGCCACTGGGTCCGGGACGCGAACCATGGTCGACTACATGGGAGTCCAGTGACATAGCCATTACGCTAACTGCTGGTCCCTTAAGTAAGTAATCTTATTACCTGTTCATCCCTAATCTTAGCAAAAATTAAAAGAAAACATAAAACATGTACATGATACCTTTTTTTTTTTTTTTGGAGAGGTTTTTGCTATAGGGTACGTATGCTTGCCAGAAAGACAGAAATAGACAGAGAGAGAGAAGGCGAGAAATTACCCCCCAGAAGAGATGGCCATGCTGCAATCCCTTCTCTTCCATTCCCCTCTCGGAGTCTTGGGCATGCACACACACGTGCCTGGCGTGAGTTTAAGCCACCGGGTCCGGGACTCGAACCATATGGTCGACTACATGGAAGTCCAGCAATGTAGCCATTACGCTAACTCCTGGCCCCCCGTTTTCTTTTTTTAAAAAACATACATGTTCTGAAAAACTTTCTCTTATTTTTACTAAAATGATAGTAAAATTCAATGTATAAAAGAAACATTTGAAAAACAGCAAGCAGTCACAGTCATTTTTCTTTAATTACTATCTTGGTTTCTTCTTAGCTTTTTTATGACTCTTAAGAGTTAGATATAATGTCATCTACTTTTTGAAGCTAGACTACTACCTATTCATGAATCTTGCATATCTATTTTAGAGGGGTAAGTCATTTGGACAAAATGCTTCCTGTAGAAATTATTTCATTATTTTGGGCTGGAACTAAATCTAATGATTAAAGGAGCTGGATTCCACATGGCCAACCGTGGTTTGAGTCTTGGCCCCAGTGGCTGGGTGCGTTCATTCCCCAGATCCCAACAGAATGGAGAAATGGAGAAGAGATTGTGGCATGGTCAAGGCACACTGAGAGGTGTTTTCTCTGCCTCTTTGTCTCTCTCTAGTGAGTACATGTGTCCCCTGGCAATTAGAAAATAAAATAAAATTCTTACTATTTAGAATAATTTCTTCTAAGGCATAAAATAACAGTTTTCCTACAGGAGTAGATTTATTTAGCTGTAAGAGATTGGTTTGCATCCTCAAATAGCTAGCTTAAAATTATAAAAATGAAAACAAAACCATGATAAAATGAATATTTTCTAGGGTAGCCAGTAGTGTGGTGATTGGGGTGACTGGATCCCACTTGGCTGACAGTGTGGTTGCGTCCCTCATCTGGTGGCTTGGGAAATCCATGGTGTGTGTGTGTGTGTGTGTGTGTGTATAAAATCCTGAAAGAGAGGGAGGGGAAGGGATTGAGAGGCAAGGCTATCCCCTAGTGGGGGTGCTCTCTCACTTTCTGTCTCCAGCGAGTGCACGTTCTAGCAAATCAATTTTGAAAAGCACTTTTTTTTGTTGATGTGTACCTCCACATTGGGCGAGGACTGTTTTCTGACCACTTGTTTCTTCTTTTTAGAACCCCTCTGGGTCGTGCAAGAGCATGGCTTCGGTTAGCTCTCATGCAAAAAAAAATGGCTGATTACCTGCGTTGCTTAATTATTCAGAGGGACCTCTTGAGGTTAGTATCATTCAGTCATATTCATTTTTATTCATTTATATCCTAGCCTCTAAAAAGGATTCAAGATACAGTCCAAAAATATATAAAATACCCAGTGAAGTGGCATAAAATAAAAGGAGGAGGAAAATGAGAGAAAACCATGGTAGAAAGATACTGTAGATCAGGAACCTGCCTACAATATGAATGCTGTAGTTTTTATCAGCTAATAAGGGAAGTTTATGAATGTTATATTTGTAAGTTTGTTTCATTTTTCTAAACGGTAGTTCTATGGAAAAGAATTTGTATTGCAATTTTGAGCTTTACTGCCACAGGTTTATTATTAGATCTTGAATATTCAAATTACTGCTTTGACTGTGTTGTAGGCATTGTTTAAATTGAAGGCAAAGGGGCCTGCAGGTGGCGTGATGGTTAAGGATGCTGGACTCCCACATGGCTGACAGGGGTTCAAGTCCCAGACCTGGTGGCTTGCTTTCTCACTTTCACGCACATGTTCTCTCTCTCCCTCCCTAACCCTCCCTTCCTCTCTCTGTCCCTCTCTGGTCAAATTAAAAAATAAATAAGTAGGGGCCAGCAGTTAGGGTAATGGCTATATTGCTGAACTCCCATGTAGTCGACCGTGGTTCGAGTCCCGGACCCCGTGGCTTAAACTCACGCCGGGCGCATGTGCATGTGTGCCCAAGATCCCGAGAGGAGAATGGAGAAGGGATTGTGGCGTGGCCATCCCCCTGGGGGGTGATTTCTCGCTTTCTGTCTCTCTGTCTCTCTCTGTCTTTCTGGCAAGCACACATGCCCTATAACAAAAACCTCTCAAAAAAAAAAGGTAAATAAATATATTAATAAAGTTAAATAAAATAATTCTTAAAGATAAAAAAAATTTAAATTGAAGACCAAATGGCACAGACATTTTCAGAGCCAGGGGGTCATGGCACCTCTCTACTCAACCTTGCCATCTTGGAGAACGGGTGGTCTCTGACGATGGTTCTGTTTTGTTTACTTGTGACTAGTTTTTTTTGTTTTGTTTTGTTTTGTTTTTTGAGAGTTTTTTGCTATAGGGCACGTGCGCTCACCAGAAAGACAGAGAGACAGAAAGTGAGAAATCACCCCCCCAGGGAGGATGGCCACATTACAATTCCTTCTCCTCCATTCTCCTCTCGGGATTTTGAGCACACGCACACACGCGCCTGGCATGAGTTTAAGCCACCGGGTCCAGGACTCGAATTATGGTCAACTACATGGGAGTCTAGCAGCAGAGCCATTACGCCAACTGCTGGTCCTGTGACTCTAGTTTTATATCTTGGTTTTTTTTTTTCCATTTGTTAAAATTAGAATGACTATTAGCATATGCAATTTCTCAATTTTTTAAAGATAAAAGTTATTAAATAATAGACATAGGACTTATTGAAGAAGGCATGAGACAGTAATAACCACTTCTAATATAGTAATATATTTATACATATATATTTTAAATTATTTATTTAATTTCATTTGTTATTATTTTTCATTGTGACCAGAGAGACAGAGAAAGGGAAAGGGAGAAAGCAAGCTACTACGTTTGGGCTTGAACCGCCTGCCATTGGCCATGTGGGAATCCAGTGCCTTTATCCACCACACCACCTGCTGGCCCCAATATATTAATATATTGATGGGCTAGTAGGTGGCATAGAGGTTGGGATACTGGATCCCACATAGCTGACCCCACAGTTTGGATTCTGTACCCAGCTGCTTGAGAAACATGACAGGTGCATGTGCATACGTGCCCAAAATCCTGAGAGGCGAATGGAGAAGAAGGGATTATGGTATGACCATTCCCCTGGGGTGATTTCTCACTTTTCCTCTTTTTCTCTGTCTCTATTTATTTATTTATTTATTTATTGTCTCTCTTTATTAAGTGTACGTTCCTTAAACGTGAAAATCTAAGGAAAAAAATATATCTACACACAAATCTTAGTTCTTAGGCTGTCCTATTTCCTTTATAAGTCTCTTGTTAGAATATTTTTTACAATATAGATATCCATAAGTGTCTTTAACTGAATTATTTATTAACGACAGTTTACCTATCAAATGCATTATCATGAATATGGGCATTCAAATGTTTCACATGTTCATTTAGCACCTTCGTCTTCTTTTAAAAAAAGAATTATTTATTTAATTTTATTTATTCTTTCATTCATTTATTTTAATTTGACCAGAGAAAGACAGACACACAGAGAGAAGGAAAGTGAGACTGCAAGCCACCAGGTCCGGGACTCGAGCCGTGCTTGGCCATGTGGGAATGTCCAGTGCCTTAACCACCATGCCACCTGCTGGCCTGCACCTTCATCTTTATCTCAGGAATTTTAATGAATCTTAGAACTAACAACTCAACTCCAATAAAAATGGTCATAATCAGATCAATGATAGTCATTATGTCCTTCTGAGAGTCAAAATTACTCCAGGCCTCAGTGATGCTTCTTTTTCTTTTAATCTCATTGGCTTCTGTTTTTCTTCCTCTGAAAGGTGCTTTTCCTCTTTCATCTCCTTCAGTCCTTTTCTTTTAATTTTTTCATATAGACATTTAAATTTCAAAAATGTAAAAAAGTTATCCAGATGTAGAAAGGTTCATTCACAGAGACCTAACTTCTATGTCTGTAAAGAAGGTTAGGGAGATAAGATGCTACAGTTTTGTTTTTTTTTTTAAGAGGATTTTGCTATAGGGCGTGTGTACTCACCAGACAGACAGAGAGAGACAGAGAGACAGAAAGCGAGAAATCACCTCCCCCCCCAGGGGGGATGGTCACGCCGCAGTTCCTTCTCCTCCGTTCTCTTGGGATCTTGGGCACGCATGCACACGCGCCCGGCGTGAGTTTTAAGCCACCGGGTCCGGGATGCGAACCACAGTCGACTACATGGGAGTCCAGCGACATAGCCATTACACTAACTGCTGGTACCAAGATGCTACAGTTTTAAGGTGTGGTTTTTGAAAGAAATTTGCAATTTAAGGTTTTTATGCTTTTGATTTTCACAGTGAGTTCTACGAATATCACGCACTAATGATGGAAGAAGAAGGAGCAGTAATTGTTGGGCTGCTGGTTGGCCTGAATGTGATAGATGCTAATCTGTGTGTAAAGGGAGAAGATCTAGACTCACAGGTAATGAAAGTGGTTAGCCCCAGGGCAGAGTGTTTTGGTTTGCACAGTTCCACCTGGATCCACTAAGGATCAGAACTTCTGGCATGGTATGATTTCTCGTCTAAATAAAAATAATTCTGTTTACTTCAGGTTGGAGTGATTGATTTTTCCATGTATTTAAAGAATGAAGAAGATATTGGAAATAAAGAAAGGTATGGTTTTCATAAGTTATTTCACATGTTGAATTTTTTAAAAATACATATAGCTCTTTACAGATTAGTACAAAATCCAGCTATTGACAGTGTGATCAAGCCCCTCCCCCACATGATTCTGCTGTGTTTTATTTTTACTTAGGTTACAAACTTTATAAAAGAAAGGAAGAAAAATCTCTTAGAAAATGAAGACTTTAGTGAAGGTAGGACTTTTGATCATACTGTAGTTACTCAGACCCATTATTTATTTTTTTTTGAGAGTTTTTTTTCACTATAGGGCACGTGGTCTCGCCAGACAGACAGAGAGAGACATAGAGACAGAAAGCGAGAAATCACCCCCCAGGGGGGATAGTCACGCTGCAATCCCTTCTCCTCTATTCTCCTCTCTGGATCTTGGGCACGCACGCACACGTGCCCAGCGTGAGTTTTAAGCCACTGGGTCCGGGACGTGAACCGCGGTCGACTACGTGGGAGTCCAGCAACAGCCATTACACTAATTGCTGGTTCCCCTCAGACCCATTTTTAGTAGCTATGTTTGGTGATAAAAGGGATAAGTGTTTCTTTTTTTTTTTTTTTTTAGAATTATTTATTTGATTTTATTTATTCATCCATTTATTTTAATTTGACCAGACAGAGACAGAGAGAGAGGGAGTGGAAGTGAGAAAGCAAGCCACCAGGTCCAGGACTTGAACCGTGGTCGGCCATGTGGGAGTGTCCAGTGCCTTAACCACCACGCCACCCACTGGTCCCGATAAGTGTTTCTTATACACAAGCTTCCAAATTCTGGGGTTTTTTAAGGTCTAATTGTGTTTAAGTTTAAAATACATAATGGTGTTCTTAAAGCTACTATTAGCATTAGCAAGGAATTTATTCAAGTTATACTTACTTAGTGTAGTTACAGTTACTTAGTATGTAGCTTACTGCCACATGATTATAAAGATTCTTGAATTCTGTTTTAAAGACAGTATTGTTTCACTATTATGGTTTTTAAAACAATTTATATATTTATATATTTCATATATTTATCTATTTCTTTTGCATCTAATAAATACCTTTCCAACTAGCACAAAGTTACTTTTTCACCTCTCTAGGAATGTTCAGATTGCTGCCATATTAGACCAAAAGAATTATGTTGAAGAATTAAATAGACAACTGAAGTAAGTATTATGCATACTTAGCATATTATTAATATTGTCTTAGATTTTTATTTTTGTTTTTATCCCTTCAGTCAGCTTATCTACATTCCTTTCATCTTTTTAAAAATATTTTTAAAAATTTATAAAAAATAATAATTTTATTTCATTTTATTTATTCATTCATTTATTTTTAATTTGACCACACACACACACACACACACACACACACCGAGAGGGAAAGGGAGAAAGGAAGCTGCCAGGTCCAGGACTCGAACCATGCTTCAGCCAGGTGGGAATGTCCAGCACCTTAACCACCATGCCACCCGCTGGTCCCTACATTCCTTTCTTCTAAGCATCTTTGAGGAGGAATTGAGGGAATAGAGAGAAAATGGGAATTAAGAATACAGAAAATAATTGGAGATATTTCAACAGAAAATGAGAGTTTGATTTTTAAATGGAATCTTGATAGAATTTCAATAGAATTTTAAAGTTACCTTTGTATCCTTGAGAAAAAAGGCTAGATAGGATGGAAATTTATATTATTTTAATGGTTCGAAATTCATTTTTCCTACTTCAAAGGGCTTCACATGTCAATGTGGCTGCTGTCTTCAGTGGTGGAAGTTTTCTCCTTGTATTGTCATCCAGTCATTGAACTGTCAGTGAATACTGTAGCTGAGAAGAATTTCTGAGATCTGTACGTAAAATAGTATAGCACATTCTTGTGTGGTAGAAATATAGGATGAGATACACATAGGTAATTTAAAATTTTGCAGGCCAGTTCCATGGAATGATGGTAACGAGGTGCTCAAGAGAAGCTGAATCTCACATGGTCTGTGGTTTGCATCTGTGGCATGACTGGCCTGAAACTCAGGCATATGTGCGAGTACAAAGATCCACTGGGCTAGAGGAGTAGAGGAAGGAGGACCTGGGGAGGGTGCCCCTGTATTTCTTGCTTGTTCTTACATGGTCGTGCATGTGTTCTAAATTTTTTTACAAATTACTTTATTATTTAACTGCATGTATATATGTATGTATGTATGTATTTTAATTTGACCAGAGGGGGACAGAGTGAGAGAGTGAAAGTGAGAAAGCAAGCTACCAGGTCCGGTACTTGAACTGTGGTCAACCATGTGGGAGTCCAGTGCCCTTAATCACCATGCCACCTGCTGGCCCCTATGCATGTGTTCTGTCAAAAATGAAGGAAAAAATCTTATTGTTAAAATTTTCAGTAACCACATTTAAAAAATAGGAAAAAAAAAACTAATTTAAAAATCTTTTATTTGGGGCTAGCAGCTAGTATGGTGGTTAAGGCACTGGACCCCACATGTCTAAGTCCACAGTTTGAGTCCCAGGCCCTATGGCTGGAAAAACACACCAGGTGCATGTGGATGCATGCCCAGAATCCTGAGAGGAGAATGAGAAGAAGGAATTTCAGTGTGGCCATCTCCCCTAAGGGGTGATTTCTCACTTTCCCTCGCTTCTCCGTCTCTTTCTGGCCAGTGCACATGTTCTATGGCAAAAATCTAAAAACAAAACAAAAATTTTATTTAAGTAAATATACTCAAAATATTTTAACATATAATCATTATAAAAAGTTATTAAGATTGGGGCTTGGTGGTTGAAGGCTCCGGACTCCCACATGGCCGATCGCAACTCGAGTACCGGACCTGGAGGCTTCCTTTCTCACTTTCCCTTTCTCTCTCTCTCTTTCTCTCTTCCTCCCTCCCTCCCTCTCTCACTCTGTCCTTCACTGGTCAAATTAAAATAAATAAATAAAGTTAAATAAAAAGAAATCTTTAATAAAAGTTATTTTTACATTTTAAAAAATTATTTTTAGGACCATCAGTTAGTGTAATGGCTATGTCGCTGGACTCCATGTAGTCCACTGTGGTTCGAGTCCCAGACCCGGTGACTTAAATTCACACCGGGCGCATGTGTATCCCTGCCCAAGATCCCGAGAGGGGAATGGAGGAGAAGGGATTGTGGCATGGCCATCCCCCCTGGGGGATGATTTCTCGCTTTCCATCTCTCTGTCTCTCTCTGCCTTTCTGGCGAGCGCACGGGCCCTATAGCAAAACCTCTCAAAAAAAAAATTATTTTTGGTACTTATCCCCAAAATCCAATGTGTATTTTACACTTATAACCTGTTTCCGTTTTTTGTTTTGTTTTGTTTTTGGTATGCACACTCATCCAGCATGTTTTTCAAGTTGCCACATCTGGTACTTGAACCATGCAGTTGGCTATGTGGAATCCAGCCACCTTAACCTCCATGCCAACTGCTGGTCCCTAGCACATTTCAGTTTGTACTAGCCACTTTTTTTTTTCAGTTTGTTAAAGGGCACATGTGGTCACTGGGAAGCGTGAGAAACACAGAGGGAGAGAGAAGCAGCACCCTCAGTGGGGCGCCGTCATGCTGTGATCTCTCTTCTCCATTTCTCTATCCTGTTGGGATTTGTGGTGCACACACACACATGTTTTGCAAGCTGGTGGGGCTGGGGTTTGAACTGTGTAGTCCACTGCATGGGATCTGGCTCCTTAACTATTAGTCCATAGCCCCTTATTTATTTATTTATTTTTATTTACCAAGGGCACATGTGCTTGTCAGAGTGAGTACTCTTCAGTGGAGTTTGGTCACACCAATATCTTTTCCCCTCCACTTCTCCATTGTGTTGGAATTTTGGGCATGTACATGCTGCCAGGGCTAGAATTTAACCATGGCTGGCCATGTGGGATCTAGCTCCCTTAATCACTAGGCCACAATGGCAGCCTCCGAACTAGACACATTAAAAATATATATATTTTTTGAATTTTATTTATTATTATTCAGTCTGATGAGAGAGAGGGAGAGTGAGAAAGCTAGACACCAGGTACAAGACTCGAACTGCAGTTGGCCATATGGGAGTCTAGTGCCCCAGCCACCACGCCACTTGTTGGCCCCAGATTAGCCACATTTTAAGTGATTTGTAGCCACATGTGGCTCTTGGCTTCCTAGGGAGTAATATTCACTACATAATTACAAATCGATTTTTCTAATTAGTTCTTTGTAATAATTAGTTAAAACGTCTCTTGTGATGGGATTGTAAATAATTTATTATATTTTTTATACTTTCCTGTATTTTCTGAGTTCCACTTAGTTAACATGTATTACAATCAGAAAATATAATGAAACATTTTCCTGTTTTAGAAAAATAAACTGATAGGGGGGTCACCAGGTGTCGTGGTGGTTAAGGCGCTGGACACTCCCACATGGCCGACCACAGTTCAAGTCTCAGACCTGATGGCTTGCTTTCTCACTTTCCTTCTCTCTATGCACTGCCTTTATGTGGTCAAATGAAAATGACTGAATGGATAAATAAAATTAAATAATTGTTAAAAAAAAAAAAAGGAAAGGAAAAATAAACTGATAGGGCTCAGCAGATGGCATAGTAGTTACATTGCTGGACTCCCACATGGGCAACCGTGGTTTGAGTCCTGGCCCCAGTTGGCTTGAAACACACTGGACATATGTGCATGTGTGCCCAAAATCCCGAGAGGAGAATGGAGGGAAAGGGGTTGTGGTGTGGCTACCCCCTGTGATTTCACAGGGGCTGGCAGGTGGCGTGGTGATTAAGATGGCTGGACTCCCACATGGCAGACCGCTGTTCGAGTCCCGGACCTGGCAGCTTGCTTTCTCACTTTCCTTTTCTGTCTCTCTCACTCTGTCCCTCCTTGGTCAAATGAAAATAAATACATAAATAAAGTTAATTTTTTTTTTGGAGAGGTTTTCGTTATAGGGTGTATGCACTTGCCAGAGAGACAGAGGCAGAGAGACAGAAAGCGAGAAATCACCCCCTGGGGGGATGGCCACGCCGCAATCTCTTCTTCTCCGTTCTCCTCTCAGGATCTTGGGCACGCATGCACATGGACCCAGTGTGAGTTTTAAGCCACCGGGTCTGGACACGAACTGCGGTCAACTACATGGGTGGGAGTCCAGCGACATAGCCATTACGCTAACTGCTGGTTCCAATAAAGTTAAATTAACAAACAAACAAACAAAAAAAACCCAGAAAAATAGGGACCAGCAGGTGGCATAATGGTTACATTGCAGGACTCCCATGCAGTCGACTGCAGTTTGAGTCCTGGACCTGGTGGCTTAATACTCATGCTGGGCACATGTATGTGTGTGCCCAAAATTCCGAGAGGAGAGTGGAGAAGAGATTGCAGTGCAGCCATCCCCCTAGGAGGTGATGTCTCACTTTCTGTTTCTCTGTCTCTCTTTGGCAGGCGCACATGCCCCATAGTAAACATCTCTCTTAAATAAAAAAGGGAAAAAAAGTAAACTGATAAACTGTGACTCTTGCCTTCCCTCTGAAGTTGTAGAAATAGGAAAGACTTGTATCAGTATTTTATTTTTAATCATGGAGCTTTTGTTTTGTTTCACAAGTTATTCTATGAGAGGGAGAGAGAGGAACAGAGACAGCCACCCACAGCAGGGCACTCCCTTGTACAGCCTGGATCATGGGCATGGCGCTGCACTTGGTGTGTGCAGGGCGGCCCTGGGAAGCAGATCCTGACCTTCCATATGGGTGTCATTGCATTCCTACCATCCACCGCCCTGCCCCAGGGACATTTATTTCTTTATTTGATTGGTTGATTGATTGATTGATAGCAAACTTGTGCAGCTGCCAGAGAGAGAGGGAGAAGAGAAAGCAACCCCCTCTATGGAGAATGGTCATCCTGTAATCCCTTCTTCTCCATCTCTCCCTCCTGTTTGGATTTTGGGCATCATGCTCACCTGCCTGGTATATTTCTTCTTTTATTTTTTTAAAAAAGAATTATTTATTGGGACCAGCAGCTAGTGTAATGGCTATGTCGCTGGACTCCCATGTAGTCAACCGCGGTTCACGTCCGGACCTGGTGGCTTAAAACTCACACCAGGCACGTGTGCGTGCGTGCCCAAGATCCCAAGAGGAGAATGGAGGAGAAGGGATTG